GAACTAGCAGCAAAACAAAACGAAAGGGCACAGGGAAGGAAGTGCACCGTTTTATTTAAGAATGATATAGAAAGACAAATTAATTAATATTGCCAAATCTGTGCTGCAAATGTACATATGTACACTGTCTTGGAATATCCCATAAAGAATTATATAATTAAACAACTTTTTCAATTTTAAAATTCAGAACTTCTTTTATTCTGAAATGTTACAAGCAATGTTCTTGAATTCTAAAATTCTAAACTTCTTTTATTCCGAAATATTGCAAGCAATTCACTAATAACTCACCCTCATCCACTCACTAATAAATTACCCTCTCTCTGCGAAGAAACACAACCGTACGAAAAGTGTTAATTGTGGTCGACATTAAGGAGCTCGAATAGCTCGAAACAAATGCTCCTGCAAATAAGAAATTCAATGGCTCTCGTGCCGGTGACGTTTGCATTTGAACGAGCTCTCAGGGAATCAAAGGAGAGTTAAACATGTAGGCAGCGATTCAGTCGGCGCAGTTCCGTGGACTACTTTCCGCCGTGTCTGAAGAAGCCGTGAGAGCTGCGAATGGCTGAGCAATTGAATTTTGTTCTCGAACTTAATCAAGCGATAAATGGCGCTCGAAGAACTAGACGACACGAGGACCAAACAGAACCTCGGTGTTAGGTACAAATGGCATCGAGAGGAACGGTCTAGACTGTCCGTCGGAGTCCATCCATCGATAATATCGGTTTTCAATAAAACGGAAGCTCGAAACACGCCGCGAAATTTCGCCCATTAAGCCCGATGACGAATATCGAATCGAATTTATCGCGTTCTCCATTCTGCCGCGAACGCTCGCGAAAGCTCTTTCGCGTCTTGTTTCGCCCTATAGTTATAACGTTCCCGGTTCCCGCGGAATACTACTCGATAAATTGCCGGTACTTCGCGAGGTAATATCATTTTTCCAAGCAAAGACCCGTGCCCGTGTGATATAACTATCAATCGCGAAGTTTCCATGTATCATGGCCGGCGAGCCGCATTACGGTTGTCGTATTTCCTCCCATCGGTCGAAGACGAGGATCCAACGAGAACGATGGTTCTCCGCGACACGTCCAAGTGCTAAGAAAAATTGACGGTTTGTTAAACGAATATTATCGTCGAGGAGAAATATCTGCGGTTCGAACGTATGGAATGAAATAAGGATGTGGAAGGGAAAGGAAAATCGGTCTGGAATTTATTTTTAAATTAGTATATTTTAAATTGAACTATGTTAATTTAGTCGTTGAATAGTATAGTGGAATTATCGATTGGGGAACTTTGTTAGGGAATTATTTCGTTAGGCTTCTTCAGATCACATTTTATAACGTTTGTATATTTAGTGATCAATATTTTTGACTCGAAATATTCTAGATCTGCCATATTGAAAATGCCGGATCTAGTGTGAAAAAAAGATACTATTTGAGATAGCAAAACAATAAAAACAGCCTGAAGATCAGCTTAATTATTAAATATTATTAAATTGTCCCATAAATATTCGTACCCTCTATGTCTATCGAAGAAAGTTTAAATTAAATGGTAAGTTTGACGTTTCCATGTATAAATTTATTCGTATATATATATATATATATATATTTGTAATGAAAAATTCATTCTCTGATATCAAACCTATTATTCAATTTAGCGAAACTTCTTCAACAGACATAAAGGATACGAATATTTACAGGATTGACTCTATGCATATAAATGCGACAATAATTAAATAAAGAATAATAATGACTATAAAACCATAATTAAGAAACGTACATATATCGCCGAAATGATACGAAAGACAGAAGAATGAAAACAATAACCGAACGCGCAGAAACGTTATAAGTCATTCGCTCGTTGAGTATTCGTCCGCGTTCTCGTCTAAATTAATCAATTATTTTCGTTACGCTCCGATTGAAATCTGGCCCAGTGGGCGACGGCTCGATTGAACGCGATCGCGGGGCGTGATAAAATAAAATTCCCGCGATGCGGAGATACGGTCGATTACGCGCGACTCGACCGCCAAATCGCGCGAATTAAAGCATATTTAATGGAAGTAGCAATGCAGAACCTGCGGTCTATCGATCGCGTTCGTTCCCATTGGCCGCGGGACGAGAGCGTAAACGCGAGCGGAATACTCCGCGAAGAAACGAAATTGCCGCCATTGTCTCGCTTATTCCGCACGTATGCGGCCGAGAATAAAGGAGGAGTGTTTGGGATCATCGTCTTGGAACTCCGTTGATTATACGCAAGCCCGTGCTTGTTAGTCGTGTAATCGATGCCTGGCCGATGGAGCCACTTAGAACACCTAGAATAATTGAAGCAATGTCGATTGGCCACTCGAGAACACTTTGCCCTCCTCCATTTAATCGCGCCAGACACGTCTGCCAACGCGATACCAGTTTGCATGCCGTTCAAAATAAGCTTAGGGACTTTCCACCGTTTGGTTTCCGTTAGCTCGCTGCAAGAACCCTCGCTGATGATTAAGTATTCATGACCGATACAAACACGATACAGCATGCATAGAGAGCCGATGCTGCGCGAGCTGGACCAGCTGCGGCCAGTGATGATCTCAAGGCGAACAGAGATGGAGCAGATGGACCAGTCGAGGAGATAACAAGTAAACGTGGATGGGATGAAAGGGCTTCGATAACCTAATGATGCCCTAATGATGCCCTAATGATGGTCGTTCTAAGGGTATTCCAAGCTGGATACTTGTTAGAGTAACGATTACGAGTTTGATGACATTTGAGAATGTTGGACACTGCATTTTACTGTTTGAATAAATGTGCTAATTTTTCTTGAATGAATTATAGTCATTGAACGAGTAACAGGATGGAAATGTAATTCTGTTTATTATTAAAGACCAAAGACTGGGAATTGTATAAATTAATTCTGTTGAAGAAGGTTTCGTGTCGTTTGCACTTGATTATATAACTGTTACTATACGACTACATGTATATGTGTACTATATATTAGGTTGTCTCCTAAGTTTATGCCACTTATTCTCCTGCTACTCAAATTAATATATGAAACATAAGCTTGAGTGTTATAAGAAAAGGATATCTCTCTTGTTTTACACAATTTTCCCACATTTCTGACGTACTCATTATAAAGCCACTATAAAATTTCTGTAGTATTTTTATTAAATATTAACACAAACTTCAACACGAAGTTATACGATGACATAATATTATAAACATACACAGTACACAAAATAAACATAATGAATATATAATATATTTATGCATACCCATACAGTAATTATATTTTTCAATTACTCGTAATGTATATTATATATTATAAATATACATATACAGTAAAATAAACATAACGCATATATAATATATTTACGTGTACTAGTACAGTAATTATATTTTTTAATAACGTGTACTACCTATACCTTGATAAACGAGTCTAACGAGTCTAACGAAAAACGCGAGTGCACGGAACTTTTAGTCCGCCCTGTACACGGTTGGGGCCTCGAACAGACGCGGAAGAAACGCGAAATGGGGAAGAATGAATTCGATGACAAGACAGACATTCCGTCGGCGTTGCACGCTACTCGCAAAGCAACCGTGGCGCAGCGTGACACGTGTCAAACCGAGTGTCGTATAATTACGTTGTTACAATGGTTACGCGTTACTCTTCAGTCTTCTTGACTGGCACATTCGCCCCGTTCCACGCGAACTGCTTGTACAGATTTCATTATCGCCCTACCGCGGCTTCATAATTACAGCGCGGATGGATAGCCGTTAATTGCACAGAAACCCAGCGCGGTTCGCTTTCGTCGGTATCCAACAGTGGTTGTTGGATCGGGCGCGAGCCTTCCGGGCTCTTCCCGAGTGTCGTGTCTTAATCCGACTGCGATAAAATATGGATCTCGACGAATCCGTGCCCGATATTCAACCCTGACGCGATCTCGAAGCGATTAAAGCTCTATTGTCGATGTAAAGTTGTTGAAGCTCACCGGAAAGAGTTTTCTATGCATTTTAAAATGAAGGTGGATTCAATTCAAATGAGGATTGAATAAATGTCTGAATCGCTAGGAAATTATTTTTGAATCAAATTTTGCTCGCGTTTGACACGTAATGGAGTTTGAGAAGATTGTCTTTAGGTCTGCATAATAAATACGAAGCAGGGAAAATAGATATAGAAGACATGGAAAACTGATGTGTATAGTAATATAGTGATAGATATAGGAAATATATATAGATATAGGACATATGTATATAGAAAATTGATATTGTAATATAGATATAGTAATGAACTAAGAAAAAAAACTCTAGATCTGTATAAAAAATCTGTATAATAATCTGTATAATAAAAGAAGATATATATATATAGAAAATTAATATAGTAACTAGGTATAAGTCGAAAGAAAAGAAAGAAGATATAGAAGATATAGAAAATAGATACAATAATATAGATAGATTGATCGATATTGAAAATAGATATAGTAATATAGATATTGAAAGTAGATATGGTAATGGATTCAGAAAAGAAAATCTCTGGATCTGCATAATAAATCGTAAGAAACAAGTTCGCACGATAAAGGCCGAGTTCAGAGAAGAAAGAAAGCCCGTCGGAGAGCGTTCCTGTGTCAGAACAGAAAAAAGCAGACGATCGGAGCGGCACTCCGAATGAACGTGAGAAGTGGAAGCTCACAGCTAACTACAAGGAGCCTGGATCTCCAGAAATCTCCATCCAACCTAGAAGCAGACGAGCTGAGAGAATGGGGTCCTCGAAATCCTCCCAGACGGGAGACAGACGTCCTAAGCGGAAATACTCCTCGAAATTCTCCTAACCTAGAGATAGACGACCTACGGTGTACCTTGAATTCCTTTCTCTTCCAAATATCCTTCTCTAAGAAACATACACGGAACGACACATCTCTATGAGAATTCCTCGCCTCGTTTTGCGATCTATTAATCGTTTTTGCGCTGATCAAATGTTGTATAAATATCCAGGATTGTTTAAATAATCGAAACGTGGCTTACCGAAGCTCCTCACTGTAGGCAAAGCTGAGGGTTGCGCGCACAGAACATGGGTGCCTCCTAGGAGTGCCAGAACAAGTCGAAAAAACTTCATCCTGATCATTGTTGCGTCGCTATTCCATGGAACTCCTAAAACAAACAGAAACCACTTGAAATCGGAATACGCAACCTTCAATAATTATGCGTTTGATTTCTGTCGCACGAGAATGTGTGATTTAAAATCTTTTAATAATATGAAACGTGAATAATTTATCGATTTTCGATCAAATTAAATAAGGATGGATATCACGTTTGAAAATAAATGAGTAATACAAGGCATTGTCTTCAAAGTTTTGTTTCAAATACAAATAATATATTTCATTAATAACATAAGACGATAAGTAAGTAATGCGAGAGATTATTCAAAGTTTCATTAAAATCTGAGTGTTAAACCTCACGCTGTTCAATCGTCGAGTTCTGTACCAATTATAAATAACATGTTTCCATGCACAATAAAAAATTTACAGACTTCGCGCACATGCAAGTGTTGGAGAGATTGAAAATCGAGTGACGGATGTTAATATTTTGTAAGGTTATTTATTGCATTAATAACAAGACTACAAATTTACTACAATTTGTTGTCATTTATTCTCCGAAATCTACAGGGTGTTCCAAAAATGTTGGAGGTCCTTGAAAGAGGTGGTTCGGGGGGTGATTTGAAAGAATATTTTCCTCAGCGAAAATGTTGCCAGAGGTTTCGTTAAGAAGATATTGACAGAAAACCCGCCCGCAGTAGAATAGGCCACGCGCTAGACAGCCGCAGTAGAATAGGCTACGCGCTAGACAGCCGCGCGCTCTGATTGATCGGGGTTTTCTGTTAACCCTTTGCACTCGAGAGATGACTTTCGATCACCATTAGGTTTCACGCAGCAAATTTACAATACCTAATGTTTCTTTAGGTTTAATTTCTTTGGAGCTCGAAGTGTCAATAAAATGATTGTCGACGAGGTAAAGGTGACTATATAAGGTAAAGGTGCTAATATGATTATTTTGCAAAAACATATATTTGTGGTAACTTATTTTATATATAATATGATTGCTGAACAAAAAGAATTAAAACTTCAAAATAATAAAAACGACCATATATTTTCACTTGGACGCATATGTGCGTCATCCGCAACGGAAGTGTTAAAGGATTTAAAATTATTCATAGCTTTCTCAAAGACCGTAATATAAGTACATGTAAACAAATTGTAAAACAACTGTTGTACGATGTATAAGCAATTTATGGTTAGAAGCAATAAAATAAATAAATATACGAGCGTCGAGCCCCATGCTATTCGATCATCGCGTATCGTTCCAATTATAAATAACATGTTCCATTAATTATACAAGAAAATTGCATCAATCACGGATGACCCGGCAGGAGGTGACAGAGGTTATAATACCTCCAGCGTGCTCGCGTTTCGGAAACAGGCGACGGTACTGCAGGGTTAATATCCCTTCAGAGTTAGCCCGATAACCATAAGTCAAGATCATTCCAGCTAACACTCCGTTCATTTCTCGAGCTTTGCTCGGAGACATGGCACTCAGTGCTAGCAGGGACTCTATCTCCGCAGCTCAGAGTCTCTTCCGTCCCTCCAGAGTTAGCTCTCATCCAGCAACCGGTGTTCCTGCGGCTCGATTCGCGAGAAGCATTAATATGCTTCAGCCGAACCATTCCGTGCTTCGTTACAGTAGCTTCTTAGGCCTGATAAGCCTCGGAGGAGCGAGAGGCGCGCTATCGGCTCTGGAAAGTCTATTTTAAATTCTCGCACAGCGTCACTCATCCCCGCTCCGTTCATCCAGGGAACGCGGTAAGGTGTTTTCGACGGCGTCGGTCGCGTAGCATATTAATTTCCGATAAATCAAGCCTCTACCAGCTCACGCCGTTCCTTCGGCTTCTTATCAGGGCCCCGCCGACGCCGAGCCGCAGCGATCCGATCGCTGTATCAGAATCTCATTTAGCGGGAAAACGGTTTCCACTGCCGCTTTATTTTCCTTGCGTTCCTCCACGCCGAACGAGGAAACGTCTCACAATCAGAGGAAGATCGGCTTTCGGCCGAACCATCGGTCCGACGATCGCGTTTGAATTCAGCAACGCAAGCGGTTGGCATCCCACGAGAATTCCACTCTTTCTCTCTCTCTCTCTTTCCCTCTTTCTTTTTCTGGAACACGCGTCGATAAGCCATTTCGTTCCTTTTCTGTCCTGCGCCGCTGGTTTCATTTAACGAAGGACCGTCGCGACGCCGGGCGAGTGGAACGAGTCCTGTGTAACGAATTGAGCCAGTGGAGAACCCCTTCCAACAGGATTTTTGAAGATTTCAGGATCGATCCTGGATCCGATATTATTTAGAGCAATTTACACGCGATCAATCGAATTGTTGCTAATTTTGTAGGGGTTGGACTCCTTCTGGAACTCGTTACGTCCCCCAAACCCTTGGGTCTGTATTTAACTCTTTGAGTACCAGAGGAAATATTAAGCAAAGATGCATTGTGCGTTGGATATTGACGTTATTTTCGTAAAGCAAAAATGATTTTTTAGCGAGTTAAAGACTCAATGGTTTGAAGACAAACGTGAAATTAAATGAATTTAATAAATTTTTGTAGAATCTTCATATTATTAGGTAGACTGGAAAGTAATGTCGTTTCTTTTACATTAAATTCAAACAAATTTTTAATAAATTTCTAATTTCAATCAATTATGTAATCGCCTTCGTTATCAACAGCCTTTTGCCATTTAGTGTGCAAATTTTCAACGCCATATCGATGAAAATCAATGAGCTGATGAGTGATAAACAAGTATTTAAAACTGCCCAAACGACATTACTTTTCAGTACACCTAATATATTCGAGATAAAATTTCACAAAATTTATCCTCCATCTTTAAATGGAAAAAAGAATTAAAAGGAGTTTCGATCAAATTTAGCTCCCACGTTTTCTGATAAAAGCGCGCAAGATGAGATACTTATTTTTCATTCCTTCCTTTATTCTTTCTCATCAAAGCCCCTCTTGGAAAAGGCGCTCCCCCTTCCCCTGGTTCGCTTTCACGTAAAGCCAGTTCTACGTGTCTGTATACACGTTTTATACTTTCCTAGCGTGCATGCACAAGAGCACTCGGAACAAACCGTTGTCCTAGAATAAACAAAGAGGCTTCGCAGAAGTGACTCCATTCCAGTTACAATACTCAGAACGCAACCTTCTTCCGAGATCGACGAAATCTCGTTTCCAGGGACGCGATTCGATCGATGCCGTGGGTGGTTGGGCGATGGCGGTGGAAAAGCTTCGTTAATGTTCCGTCACGATCAAAGGAATCGATGAAACCGATCGCGGCGATCATAAATCATGACCACCGGAAACGGGGAAATAAATGTCCTGTCTGGCTAGCGGTTGAAAGACTCCGCGGTGGGAACAATTTACGATTAACTTGTGTGACGTATCGGCTGGGTGGGGAGACATGTTGGAATAAATCTCTTGTCATTCACAAGCTTTTAGTTCGCAGGAACCGTAACGCTTCACGCTCGGTCAGCTCTCGAGATAAACTCGTGATTAACGACGCGAGTTGACTAAACCGTTTAATCGTGTAACCGCCGATTGCGGGAAGAAATTTCGCGATTGGTCTTGATGTGCTCGCGTAGGCTTCGCACGAGTTGCGCCGATGGTGTCGCGTGTATTTGACGCGCAGGACTGAACTGGTGTGAATAGTTGAATTGCGTCGTGATAGGCAAAATAAAGGTCTAATTACGCGTTTGGATGTTTCATGTAATTTAATGGAAAATATGTATATTTCGCGTGACTTGTATGTTTGATATATTATACAAAAAATTTTAAGATTACTGTCTACATGTTTATTTAAATAGTATTACTTGTCTATGTTAAATATTTTGTATACTAATTAATCAACTTTTTAATTATATATCCATTCTATTTTTTAGGGTATTTGATAAATTAGGATTCCAAAGGGAACTCGATTTGGATTGAAAGATAATTTACTCTACGCAAATCTGTCATAACTACTTTTACATTAGATAATCATAATATTATTTAAACCGAAGCTGAATAACCGAAGCTTTCCATTTCGAGTAAAGATTAATAATAATTAAAATCCTGTAGACAATTTGTATTTATAGTATATAATTATAATATTATTTAAACCCTCTGTATAATTACTATCGAAATTAGAACATAGGAAAGTCGTAATTTTGTTATTTGTCCTCTGTTATAAATAACCGAAGCTTTCTGTTTCCAATTAAGATTAATAAACTGTTAAGTAAACATCCCCACGAACTCTGTGGAAGTCTAAAAACAGATTTCCAAGGAGAAATCCGTTTCAGGACTAACGGGAACACAACGATCCGCGACGCTGTTCGTTGGAAGTTGCAAATGAAGATCGATAAACATTACCATTGAAATAGGAAAGAATATGTCCCTACCAGCTACTAAAGTTTCAAGGAGTTCGTATCTCTTAGAAAACTTCTCGTACACCGATAACAAAGCGATCGCTAAAAGATAGCCCGCTGGTTATCTGGTGCAAGCGCTTGCAACTTGTTATTGAATTCGTCTCAATTAATTTGCTCTTGCTTGGCATATTAAATCGTTTTCATTAATAAGTACACAAGCATAGACAGTGTAAATCGCAAGAAACACCAGAAAATGAAAGACCATTTATTCCATAGCCAAGAATAAGGAGTTGAACGGCAACACGAATCGTGAACCCTGCAGTATTATGGAAATCCAATAGTCCAAGTGTCCAAGAGACCAGAAGTAAAAGAATTTAGGAGACCAAGAATCAAGGAATCCATGAGTCCAAGAATCCAGGAATCCAAAAATCCATGAGTCCAAGAATCCAGGAATCCAAGAATCCAGAAGTAAAAGAATCTAGGAGCCCAAGAATCCAGAAGTCCAATAATCCAGGAGTCCAAGAATTCAGGAGTTCAAGATTCCAGAAATCTAAGAATTCAGGAATCCAAGAATCCAGAAGTAAAAGAATCTAGGAGTCCAAGAATTTAGAAGTCCAAGAATCCACGAATCTAAGAATTCAGGAATCCAAGAATCCAGAAGTAAAAGAATTTAGGAGTCCATGAATCCAGGAGTCTAAGAATTCAGGAGTC